CGAGATAAATAATCTTTTAGTTAAATTATTTAATGTAGATAATCCTCTTATAAAATTTTACATTCAATTTGCATATTTTAGGTTTGTAATAAAATCATATGTAAGTTATCAGATTGACTTAACTGAACGGAAGCTGTGCGAAATACTAGGATTTGAACCAAAACTTTTTTGTGATGAAGAACAGAAAGGAAAACATATAGTTAACATCTCTGGAGGTATGACATTCACATTAATATTAATTTTATCAATGGAGTGTTATACAATAATGATTTTATTGATATTTTATATTCCTTTACTCTTTCTAATCTACCTAGAATTTTAATTAAAATTGAAGAAACAAATCCAATATATTAAAGAATAAGAATTAAAATTACAGATCAAAACGATCATCCAAACGAACTGCATATAGATTACTTTCAAGTAACAATAAAAGAATTATAACAAAGTTTTAGAAAAAATCGGAAACATTGTGGGAAAGTTGTTTTTACCGATGTTTTAAATAAAGACAAAAGATAAAATTCTTGAAATATTAAGTAAGAAAGCAGGTACATTCATAGAAAGTAAATTGAGTAATATATTAAAGAAAAAATAATATCTAATATTTTAAATAAGAAGATTCAAGTGCAATAAGGAATAGGGATTAAATAATTTTAATTCTAAATAAATGGATAGAGATTTGTTATCTAATGAATGAATCTAATTATTATCAAAATATCACATAAAGTTTTGAATACAAACAACATCATAAAGATAAAGTCTGCATTGATGAAAAATATTCAGCTAAATATACATCCAACATTATATATATATAAACGAAATAAAAATTACGAAGCATGATAGTTCCTCAATTGGAACAGATATTGTAATAGTCGTTAATACAGAAAGTAGTTTTATAAGTGGTAACTTTGATTGAAGAATTTGAATTACCTTGCTTGGCTCATCATTTACAAATATTGATAAACTTCATAAAATATTACATCACAAACAAAGCATCTAATATACTTTTTTATATCACTATCTCAGAAACTCCAAGTAAACAGATTTTAATATCTTATTATTATGGATCAACAACATCGGGTGTTGAGAATGATAAAGATAAAACTGATAAATTTGTATCAACATTTAAACATAGCGAGGATTTTACCAAATATCAATTCTGAAAAAATAATAAAATAAAATTATGGATACTTTAATGATTTCGAAAAAAATTATTTCAAATATCGATGCAAAATTTGTTTTCTGTAGAAATGGAATTAATGATATAATTTATACTGATGTAGCTAATGAAAATTATAAAGTTTTTATAAATGATATTTCGTTAAGGTTGCCTCTTATTAAACTCTACTCCAAACAACAAGCTGAATATATTATTTTTAGTTTAAATCCTCAAAGTGATGTTGAAATCAACTGGAATGATATAAGAGTTGTTAAAACTAGTATTCAGAAAGGATCAAGCAGTACATATATATCGTAAACACAACAAGCAATGAAATTAGAAACAGTTATGTCATTTCCCAGTTTCAAGATAAAAAGAATAACCAAGACGAAAATAATTATTTTCTATAAGAACATGGGTTAGAATTAATAATGATAAATAATATCCCACTAAATATTACAATTTTTTGTCCAAAGACGAAAAACTAAATCATTCCAGATATTCTTAGATTTGTTAGCAGACGGGTTACGTAACATAAATACGGAAACTGGATGTTTAGTAAGCTATACAAATTACGGAAAACTGTACCCAATAATTTGTTTAGAACCACGTTTCCTGTTATGTAATAATGTGACGAATTTGAAGATTGAGTTCTTCTGGCAACTCCAACAAACCATATAGATCTTATTTCTTTTAGCTGAAAAGAGAAAAAGGATAACGAATTTTTACAATAAAAGTTTTGAGACTATGAGAGCTCTCTAATGATTATAAATACTTTTTTGGTTTCCGTATGGTAATATATATAAACAAGCATCTCATGGTTCTATAGGTCCATCTAGAAACGTTTTAAATTAACTGGTCATGGCAATTATGATACTGAAAATAAGAATTAAAAGAAGCATCTCAGGGTTCTATAGGTCCACCTAGAAACGTTTTAAATTAACTGATGATGGCAATTATTATAGTGAAAATAAACATTTAAAAATGTTAAAAAGGCAACTGATAATAATGATGCTATTAACTTACAGTAGTGGAAGAATATATTCATAGTAAAACCAAAATCGAGGACAAATTTCTGAATAATATTAACACAAATAAAAATTGTTTGCATGTACAGAAAGATTGTTATTAGTCAATTATAATTTTGATGCTGATAACAAAAATATCAAAAATGTAAAGGAACTGACAGAATAAACTGACGCGTCAACAAAATCTATCTAGACCAAAAAAAAATTGACCAAATCAAAGATTTTGATAGGACATTATAAACTAATATTAGAACGAAATTCGAAAGAGTTCATTTAATATCAATTTAAGTATTAATAGTACTGAAAATGTGGGAAAATTACAATGTTTGTAAAATAATTCATTAATAATGTATAAATATATAACATTTGATGCAAATAAACATACTACAACAAACGTAACGAATGCAGGTGAAGATGCAGTTAATAAAAAGTATATAGATATCCTTAATCAATTAACCAAACGTTTACTAATTCAAAAATTCAAAACATTATAAAGTTTGAATCTTACGTGGTTATAAAACCAGATTATATAAGAATAAAGTTTTCATTCAATGCCATTGGACTTTAGTGAATTACAAATTTTTTATTAAAAGTTTGGCTAGCTTTCCCTAATTTAACAGTGCTTGACTAGAGAGACGGCAGATAATCAACACCACCAACCGCCAACTTTTGGGCTACTCTATTACTAACGAATAATGGGACTGACCGTCACATTATAACGGCCTCGCGGCTACAAGGGGCAATCATATTTGGTGACGGGGATTCGAAACCGCAACCTGCAGTTTTCTTAAAAGATCGTCTAATTCTGATTTCACAGATACGACAATGGTACTCGAAGAAGACGTGAACTTGAAAATTATCGTAGAACTTGGAACACGAGAGTTAAGTTTTGTTTCAAATTAAAAATTGGAGAAAACACTTAGGACCATTTCAAATAAGTGAAATTACTTATTCATTAAACTTATTTTGTTAATACTTATAAAAATGATAATATTGAATTAATTCCCACCACTATTAATCTATTCAGGGAATCTCTTGTATATTTTGAAATACAACATTTATGGAAATACCTCCAAATAATTAAGAATTATTATCAGATACGTTAATTTTACCTATGAACATTTTGTAATAAAAAGCTAACCGAGAAAAATGTTAAGGTAATGAATGAAATAAAAGATCTTACCCTTTCTCATAACGGGATGAAAGACACTGGAAATAATCAGAAAGCTCATATCCTTGAATTTGACATTTTGTAAAACTTTTGGGTTGTGTATTAAAGGGGCTCCCTTTTTTAAACATTTTTTGAATTTTAATTATTTTTCAATCTTATAAGTTTAAATCTTAGGTTGATATCAAAGGTTAAAGGGGTCCCTTATATTTTTGTTAATATTTTAATTTTTCTAACATTATTTTTTTACAATTTTGGGCTGTGTTCCTCCAAAGGAATAGAGTGGGGCAGAACCACTTTTAGTGTATAAATATGATTTCTGCCACACCTTGGTCTACTAATTCAAATAATGCACAATATTAAAAAACACCAATAACCCATGCTTCCAAGTTGGGAGCAGAAACTTCATACTCTTGCGTATCTGCTCGTTTGTTAATTTCCCGTAGAAATTCTTTCCGAGAAACTTCAGCGATACAAGTCCTTT